ATAAATTAATTTGATCACTATCCCGATCATTAAATTTTTTTTTTAAAAAAAAAAATCCAATATTTAATTTTTATATGGTATTACATCTAGTTTTGATTTATTTAATTGACCGCACACCCCATCGTTTCGTGGCAAAATTCATATATTTTGCCAAGTAAAAACCACCACAAATTGAGATTTAAAATTTGTCACATCGACCGAACGAACCGAGGCAATTAAATTATATTTTACAATAGCTTACTAAACATCTTAAATAATGATTTATTTATTATGATGTAAATGTAATTTCTTTCACTAACAATGTCCGCTTCGTCTTTAACATGAAAAACAAACAAAAGAACCCAAAAAAAATGAAAAGACAATAAATGTCGTTCAAATTAAATGTTAAATAGTAAACGAAACAACATAATAATATAATAGTCGCATCCATATAATAGAATGTCAAAATAAAAATATAATAAAAAAACTATTATATATTTTTTTTGTTTTAATAATATATTTACTAATGTTTTTTTTTTTTTTTTTTACAGCATGCCAAATTCGAAACGCTTATACAATAATTGAGTGATTATAAATTATATCCAAATATTGTCTAACCTTAAATCATTTGTTTGTTCTTTCCTTCGTATTTCATAGCAATACATGTTACCATCTGCATATATCAAGTAAAGATTATAGAAATACAAAGCAGGGTCTTGTAGATTATCATTTTTTACGACAAACATTCCTAATCAATTTGAAAAATAAAATGAGTTCTTTAAAAAGTATCCAAAAAAAGTGTATAAACAATTTCTTACCTATCAATGGTAAATTTGGTAAAGAATTTTGAGGTATAACTTTTTCGTCATGAAGTGAATAATGTTCAATCCCTCTACTATTGACTCCCCTTTAAACCGAAAAAAAAAAAAATGTTTAAGTCACCAATTCTCAATAATTAATATGTAGTATTAAATATAGTTACTTGACGAAACTATGTGATGCTAATCATCACACAGCCACATGTTAATAATATTAGTGCAATTAACATGTGAATTCACATGTTACTATTCGTGG